TAGTCAAGGAAGAGGAAATAAGAGGAAACTTGAAATCTCACCTTAGGGAATGAAGATCAAGCTTCAGTGACGATATTCCTCGGTAATTCCGTCGATTTCCGCTTAAATCCCTCTTTTTCTCACTTTGAAATTTTTTTTCCTTTCTATTTCTCTTAGCTGGGCTCTCTGGTTCTTTTCCACGTGAAATTGACCATTTACATGTATTTGTTCATCATTGAACCGAACATCAAAAATCAAGGGACCAAACAATGCAAAATTTGACTTTTCCAATGATTTTTATGCAAACATCAATTTAATTACTTTAAATCCAAGCCATCCATTCATAATAATTATCTCATTTATGTTCTGTTTAATTCCTGTCCGTTGTGCGTTTTATTTGTGTTTTTTAGACAGTTCGTCAACTTAGTCAACCTTGACCATTCTTGACTAACTTTTTTAGGGTGACGTTTTGGGTTGACTCTTCGTCAACAAATTTTGACTCGGTCCACTTAAAGTAGTCGAAATCCTAATTTACGAGATTTGGCCTTCCGAACCCCTTTTTCTGTGCATTTTTCATTCCGATTGTTTCTAAAACCCTAGAATTGATGTCTTTCAATTCTTTCACTTCTTAACCTTAAGATTCATGTGTTGGCCTACTTGTGGGTTTAACACAGCATTCGGCACATCGTTCCTTATTGCAATCTAAAAGTCAGTTATCGTATCTTACCTAACTTAAATTTCTAATTGCTTACTTGACGTCATCTTGCTTACATAAGCAAGGTTTAGGGAATACTTAGTAATCACCCCTTAATGTTCTATTCTTATAGCTATTCTTATTACTTCATACTAACTTTTGAGAATTTACTTAGTTGACATGAAATTTCAGTTCCCGACTTTGTCAACTTCTGAACCCATATTGTATTTGAATTTCTTTAGTGATACACTACCCCTTTAATTTCCTCTTATCTGTTTGGAAATTAAGGGTTTTCTCTTTAAATGTCAGAGTGTTTCTCTATACACTGTTAACATTATACTGCAATAAGAGATTCCTGATATTAGGATTCTCAAACTGTATATGCACGAAGGATTTCTTCCGCCTTAATTGCGGTAGGAATTTATCAACTGAATTTACTTGTTCATAAATTATGAACTCATCATAATACTTACTACATAATATAGGAATATTGATATTAATTTCATAAATCATTTAGTCACAAAATATGGTAGTAAGTTACTGAGAAAAGTCCTTAACTTAAATAAATAAATTTACATTATTTAATTCTAGGATTTTCTCGGTCATTACAGTTAAGGCTGTATAGTAATCTTATTTATGATTTATGGCATGAACAGTTGTAGTGGCGAGCACCCGAGGACCTCATTCGTCGCGTCACCATTGAAAAATTTAAAAAGGTTAAGTAAGGCGCTCAAGTAGGTACACTCTCACCTGCAACATGAATTGAAAAATTGAGAAGTATATGATTTTGATGTTTATGATGATGTTATGGCACCTTTACTATTTCTCATATGATGACGTTTTGAAGAAAAATGTATATAGGTATTTTTATGTTTTTAAATGGCGTTGTACACCCTTGATGGCGACCAGTGAGCGGTCTTATTGTCACGGTTAGTATGAGATTTGCTACCCCATGCTTTATGTGGCTAGTGCGCTATGATGGTACAACGTCGGGCCCAATATATGATGGATTTTAAAGTTAAAATAGGTTCAACAATAATTATTCTCATGATGACGTTTATTGTTGATGAATAAAAATGTTCATTTACATTTGTGAGAATTAAGTGTCTTACTAAGCCCTTGCTTATATAATTTATTTTATGTTGCAGACAATCTAAAGGGTAAGATGTAGGCATGGAGAATCTTGGAGCGGATAAGAGCCATGCATGATAGGAAAACGAGATAAACGATCATGGAATGAAAGTGCTAAATTTTAAATAAAGTTTTAATTTTTATTGTTTTGGAACTTTGGTTTATGGTGGTTTTGATTGAAGAATACTTTAGATTTATTTTAGTTTAGTTCAAGGTATGGATTTTAACAATTTAGTTGAACCTAAAGATTTTTTTTTCTTTGAAGAACTTTTAAATTTTTTAAAGTTATAATATGAAAAAAAAAAATTCGAGGATTTCATTAAGTCATTCAAAATAAAGTGTTTCAAGTTTAACTATTTTCCGCATTCTATAAGAGGTATATATTTGAAAATTAAGATAACTGTGACGATTCATGCGGTGTCGTTACACTAGAGATGATTTAAGGAAGTCCATTTCCTTTTTTATTTACCCAAAGTTTCACTTGTGCCGTATTCTTATTGGATGATTGGAGAGCAAAAAGTCTACTCATAAATTGATAGCTTTAATAGTAAGTTTATGATCATATGTACTTAATCAAGTCTACGCCTATATCACAACCACGTGAATATGTACCAAGAATCCAAGACACATATGGGCCCAGCAACAAGCTTAGCAGTACTCAGAAGCAAGAACGTTTACTTTTATTATTACTCTTTTACTCCAATACCCGTTTATGGAAGTCATTCCTGGGAAAAGATTGTTTTATAGTTTGCTTTCTTTGTCCTTATTTTGGTCCACAATATTTATTGTTTTCGTCCTTCCTTCTTTGTGATGGAAGCAGTTGGAGGTTAACAGAGCGATTACTATGGAATTAAACAAACAAACAAAGAAACCTTGTCCATGTAGGACCAATTCTTAATGTTTTTTTGGCATGAGCTAAGCAACTAGTTAAATTGACTACTGAACGTGACCAAAATAAAGAGTCACTGACAAAGATGACTTCCATCTTTGTAATCATTTCCATCTTTCCCCCTTAATAGATAAAATGTTCTAGCGTTCCATTGCCTAGAAATACCTAGCTTATTTGAAAAGGAAAAAAAAAAATGGATTTCAAGACCAATCCATACATGTTTCTTGTTATCATGTCATGCATGTTTCTCAAGACCCATCTTTCCCTTGGAGCTGATATTATCTCTACAAACCAGTCCCTCTCTGGTGACCAAACCATTATCTCTGCAGGTGGGAAATTTGAACTTGGATTCTTCAAACCAGGTAGGTCTTCAAACTACTATATAGGCATGTGGTATAGGAGAGATCCTTCCCGAACCGTACTTTGGGTAGCAAATAGGGAGAAACCTGTGGCGGATAGCCATTCCTCCGCTTTAAGAATATCAGATGGAAATTTAGTTCTTTTCGACGAGTCAGAAATCCAGTTTGGTCCACAAATGTCAAGTCCACTGCAACTTTTTCTTCTGTACAAGCAATTCTCTTACACGACGGGAACCTCGTCTTACAAGGAATATCCGTTAGTTCTACAAAACTCTTATGGAAAAGCTTTAATTACCTGACGGATACGTTTCTACACGGTTCTAAACTTGGATACAACAACATAACCAAAACAAAAAAGCGCCTCACTTCTTGGAAGAACTCGGAGGACCCTTCACCCGGCCACTTCTCTTTTGAGCTAGACCCAAGTGACGACTCCCTTATCTTGTTGTCGAAAAGTTCTAGGAAGTCCTACTGGAGCAGTGGACCTTGGAAAGGAGAGAGTTTTAGCCTGGTCCCGGAGATGAAGTTCAATCGTCTTTGCTATTTTAATTTTGTTTCTAATGTTAATGAAAGCTATGTCAAACACGTTCTTACTGACTCGTCCATTATAGCTCAGTTTCGGTTGGATGTCTCGGGCCAGATTAAGCAACGACTATGGCTCCCTACTACAGGATGGAATTTGGTTTGGTCAACTCCGAGAGACCAATGTGAAGTTTATGCTTTTTGTGGGGCATATGGCAGCTGTAATGAGAAGTCATTGCCCTTCTGCAACTGTCTGCCGGAGTTTAAGCCGAGGTCATGGCGTGATTGGGAATTGCAGGATTACTCCGGTGGGTGCGTGAGAAAGGCAAAACTGCGGTGTGGTGAATATAGTGTAGTTGATGATGGTGAGAAAGACAGGTTTCTTGAAATTCCCAGCGTGTCATTGCCTGAACAGAGACAATCTGTGCTAGTTGATACAATGGCGGATTGTGACTCCACTTGCTTAAATAACTGCTCTTGCACCGCATATGCTTCTGATGGCAATAGTTGTTCCATTTGGATGGGAGATCTCTTAAATCTGCAGCAACTCGGAGAAGGTGATAGCAGTGGAAGAACTCTCCACATTCGACTAGCAGCTTCTGAGTTTAAAAACAAAAAGGGATTAATCATCGGTGTTGTGGTGGGCTCAGTTACAGGATTGTCAATTTTCTTAGGCCTTCTTGTGTTTTTAATCCTGCGACGAAGAAGGAAAAGAGTTGGAGTAAGAAAGGCGTTGGTGGGATCATTGCTTGTCTTTGGGTACAAAGATTTGCAGCGCGCAACAAAGAACTTCTCCGACAAATTGGGGGGCAAGGAGGATTTGGTTCGGTTTTCAAAGGGGTGTTGCCTGACTCAACTGTAATAGCAGTTAAAAAACTTGAAAGCGTTGGCCAAGGTGAGAAGGAATTTCGAGCAGAAGTTAGCACAATTGGGGCCATCCAACATGTCAATCTTGTTCGACTTTTTGGCTTCTGCTCTCAAGGTTCTAGAAGGCTTTTGGTCTATGATTACATGTCCAATGGCTCTTTGTCTTCACATCTTTTCCACTCAACTAAGTCATATGTCTTGGACTGGAATGCGAGGTACCAAATTGCTATTGGCACAGCAAGAGGGTTGTTTTACCTGCATGAAAAGTGTAGAGACTGCATCATACACTGCGACATTAAGCCTGAAAACATTCTTTTAGATGCAGAATTTCATCCAAAAATTGCAGATTTCGGATTGGCGAAACTCATGGGAAGGGAATTCAGTCGCGTTCTCACAACAATAAGAGGGACAAGAGGATATATCGCACCAGAGTGGATAACGGGAGACACAATAACATCAAAAGCCGACGTCTACAGCTATGGAATGATGCTTTTTGAATTTGTATCAGGAAGAAGAAACTCGGAGGAATATGAGTCAGGGGAAAAAGTTGAGTTCTTCCCGAGTTTGGCTGCGGGTGTCGTTGTAGAAGGTGGCAATGTGCTTACCCTGTTGGACCCAAGATTAGATGGTAATGTTGAAATACAAGAGGTTGAAAGAGGGGGTA